CCCCCCCCTCTCTCGCACGAAGGTCGAGGAGACGAGCCGCGAACGTGAAGAGCGCCTGAAAGGTTGGTCGTCCTTCCTGGAAGGGCCGCAGCCGGCGGGGGGGGCCGCCCCTCCATCGCCGAGCGCCGCGCCGCCGACGTCCGAGCTGCCGCGACCGGACAAAACGCCGGAGGACGACAACGAGGACGCCAAGTCGACCGACAGCAGCCTTGCGGCGAGCGACGACGACGCTTGACTGACGAGACGCCATTTTGTTTGGAGCGTTGAACTGAGTAACTTCGAGTCCTGTTAGAACGACGTCAAACTCATTTTCATGGCCGTTACCGATGACGGGTGACTCGGAAAATCACCTCATCATGAATACGCAAGTCCGACCCGATAATCTGATTGTGGAGTTTTTTCTTTTCTTCTCTGAAAGCAATCCGCTTCCACAACGGCTCGGCCAAGAAAATGTCCAGTTTTCACATACAGCACATTTGACAATAAAGTTGTATCCAAAAATGCAATCATTTGGAAGCGCTCCCCTCAAACCAACACAGGTGCCTCCAATTTTCTTCCGTTGGATTCAGGCTTATTTAAGATCTTATTTAAATGTACTGATGCGATGCACGGGAAACAGGAAATGGGTCCACGTAGCATTTTATACATTTTAGATTACAGTATTCCCTCACTTATCGAGGCTAATGGGCACCGGGGACCCTGCCGCGATACGTGAAAAACCACGATGGAATTTTCGTGTAAGTGTATGTGGGTACCAGCATGTTTAAAATATGGAAACAGTAATGACACTTTACATATTTGAGACAAAGACGACAACAGTACACGCATTTACTTAAATGTTTCATTATAAAACCTTTGACAGTAATTAACATTCATCAGCATTGCCTTCTGAGAGAGATCGAGACTTACTCTCCAGCTAGCTCCTGGCCAGCTATCCCCGCGCAGCCGACGTCTTTATGATGAGACAAATTCATCGGTATTGAGGAGGCGGCGGCGACGAGA